GCAAGCGCCTCACCAGTCAGAACAGCGTGAGTTCAGACCGTTGCAGAGGCCAGGACTGCAGGTCACTACTGGTGTGCTAGTCTTCTGTGGAGAAGAGGTGTCTGTTTTTTCCTCACCGTATTACTTGCTGCAAATTTGTACTGTCCTTATTTTCAAGCTAAGTACCATAGCCCAGTTGCTGTCTACTGTGGGAGTGTTCACAGATTCAAACCCAGATACACAGCTCTGCGAGGTGGAAGCGTTGATTCGAACTTGCAGTTTTGTGGCAGCAGCTGGACCACTGAAGAAGAAGGTGAGGATGGAAAGGGGTTGAATATGCAATGGTGGCCTCAGCCAAATGAAAAAAAAATAACCTGATTTCAGGGAGAAATTGTCCTTGGAGGTCAGTCCTCATATGCTGGCTCTGTGTCAGAGTAGGTGGCTGACACAGAGCCTGCAGATGATCCTGCCCTCCTCCAGTGGTGCAAATGCATCACATCTCTCTATCATTAGTTCATTATGCTTTCTCCTTTATCAACAGTAGCCAAATCACTACCACTGCTAGCCGGGACAGGGACTGTGGCCCGACCGGCCATAAATCGGGCATGGTAATGAGATGTGAGTTCTGTTTCTATCCTTGCTATCAATGTCTTGCCATAGCTAAATTCCCAGTTCTTCCTCTGCTTGCCCATCAGATCTGACCTTGAGGATGGGATGGTGCTGTAGAAACACTGGCAAGGTCTGCCTGCTTGCTGAGATGTCTCTCTGCTTTCCACATGTACCAGTAGCACCGTGTGGGTCTTTACCGGTAGTCTTCACAGAAGCCAAGTCCTGAAATGGGAATCTTTTTTCCCCTCTTACCAGTGGGGCCTTCAACCTCTCTCTCCTGGCTTGCTAGCTCAGTGCTGTTCAGAAGAATTAAACTGATGCTAGTTTTATGAAAAATAAAAACAAACTGATCTTCTGAATGGTTAAAAAACCCTTGAATGCCTCACTAATTAGATGGGTTAATTGTAAAGGTGTGAGGTCAACTAACTCACTTCTTCCCTTTTACCTGATCTACAGCTTCTTTTCAGTCCATATTAACAACCCAGATGAAGAAGCATCCTAGTTCATGGCATGGGGTTGGAGTTGGGAAACCTCCATACCCAAGGGCCATCTCTCCCCTGGATGGCTGGGACAGCAAGGCTAGTGTGAACAACCTCAGCGCTATGGGTGGAGGTGATGTCTCCCACCTTTCTCACCAAGCCCTGACCCAGGACCTCCGAGAGAGGGAGGCGAGCAGCGCTGCCCTGGAAACCATTCAGATTGAGGACAAGCTGAAGACGGGGAGGATGTCTGAGGGTCTGTTAGCCTCACAGGAAGGTAAGGCGGGAGCCTGCCCGCTCTCCTGCGGGAAGAAGGGTCTTTTCCCAGCCTAGAGAGCTAGCACACATTCCCAGTGAACAGTTCTCCCTTGCATGTGCCCCCCTGCAATAACCTTCCCTGCTCTCAGTCCCCTGCATAGCCCTCCTGTTGCTGTAAGGGGGTACAACTGTGGGGCAGGGAGAGGAGCAGGAGAGTGTATGTGCAGGTGACTTATTCTGGGTAAGTACAGGTCTGTGGCCTCTCTGTTGTCTGATGGGAGCCCAGAGGACCAGGGTGTTCCTCTGGTGGCTCTGTGGAAGTGGGTAAGTGCTCTCCACTGGCCTTCTTCAAGTGGCTGCCAGCATGAGCATGTTGCCCTGTGCAGTTATTTAGAAGTTTCCAAGAAATCTGTCCAATGAAATCTCTAGCTTCAGGTGCTTTAGTTTTGCAGTGCTGCTTCTATTGCTCTTTGTGTCTCCACTTTGCGTCTCTGCTTTGCAGGCCTGACTGACTGCAGTGACCCTAAGGGAGTTACCCTGAAGCCAGCAGTTTCCACGTCAGCTTCCCAGAGGCTCCTGACAACCTCCAAGCCCATGCCTCCCATCCAGGACAGCCTTCCTTCCTCAGAGCCCAGCAGGATGAGCAACGGAGAGCAGGAGCATGGGGAAAACAGCACAGGCTGTGATGACAGTGATGGGGATGACAAGGAGCTGATGTCAGAGGGAAAAGGATATAAAGTAAGGAAACCAAGCCAAATCATGTTGTCGTGGTTTAACCCCAGTTGGCAACTGAGCACCACGCAGCCGCTCGCTCACCCCCCCACCAGTGGGATGGGGGAGAGAATTGGAAGGGTAAAAGTGAGAAAACTCGTGGGTTGAGATAAAAACAGTTTAATAGGTAGAGCAACAGTCACGCACGCAAGCAAAGCAAAACAAAGGAATTAATTCACTACTTCCCATCGGCAGGCAGACAGTTGAGCCAAGGAAGAGCTCAGCTGGACATTGCGCTTCAGGCTGTCTTTGCAACATGTGTACTGCAGACTTTATGTCCTCAGCATATATCAATAGGAGAAGAGGTCTTTAAATAGTTTCTGTGCTCTCTCGTGGCTCCTGCTGTGTTTTATGACTGAGAAAACACCAGCAACCAGTCAGAGCAACTAAATGTGTCTAACCTGGTCAAGCATATCCTTCTACAGTTAGTAAAATACATGTATCTGTGAACCATCTGTACATTGCGGTTACTGTTGAAGACACACCAGTGTCTTGGTGGCTTTTTATATCAGCTCTGTCTGGTTTAGATGGAAAAAGATGTTTGCTGGAGCAGGCAGTCCTGCAAACTCAACTTCAGGTTGTCTCAGCTTTTGAGTTGTACAGCAATGTCTTTCTGCACAGTTATCTCTAATATTTCTAGAGTTCAGCAGCCACTGTGCAGCTTTATCCTCTTCCATGGGTCTGCCCAGGGGTAAGTGATGAGAACTGGCAATTCTGGCCATGGGGAATGGAGTCCAGACACCATCCATTCGATCGCCTTTGCAGGAGGGACAGAAGCTGCAGTTGTTTGGTTTTGCCGTGGTGGGCAGGAGAAGGCAGATGAATAACAGCTTTTGTAAACAGGATAACCAATAAAAGCCTAACGTACTTGATTTCAGCCTTGGAGATACAGGGCCAAATGTATCCCTGACATTAACTCTGTTGGTTTTACTGGAGTTTGAACAGGTCCTGATTTGGCTCTTCAGCTGTGACAAGAACGATGGGATACTAAGGAAGGGTGTGTGTCTGCCCCTGCTCCCTCCATCCCCCTTCCTAGCCATGGCATGGGGAGCCTGAAGTAGTTTCAAGCAGGCAGAGAGACCTTACACAGAGCAGCAGGGTAGGGAGCTCTGCTGAACTTAATAAATGACAGTGAGCTTGAGATGATGAACTGTGTGGGAGCTGGAGAGCACTGAGCATCCAGAGAACACATTAGCATCTGGGCCAAAAGGCTGGTGGGAGACTGTAGGAAGGGCGAGGCAGAAAAAATTATGGGCTTGAGAAAAGCAGGTTTTGTCAGCATGCAAAATGACTTTGTGGGGACTTGGACGGAGTTCTGCAATGGCTGGTAGGCGCTTTAGGGACAGGGAGATGATAGTGGTCTAAACCCATTCTCGTAACATCAGAAAGGCTAATAGAGGCAACGGCACCCCAGAACATCCTTATGCCAAGTAGATGGATGCCAGGTGGGAATGCAGCCACTGCCAGAGAGGAGAGCAAGGGGAGAGAGCTGGCAATGTGCGACACGGTCTCTGACTCACCATTTCCCTTTCCATTGCCCATCCTAGGCCAAGCTGCTCCATCAGTTTGACTTTTCCTGCCAAGTCCTAGCTAAGAGCATGGCTAAACTTCTTGTGGCATCAAAGGCAGAAGGCTGGATGCTTGAGCTGAGCACTGCGTTCTACTGTTTCCAGGCTTCCCTGCTGTCCTGGTGTTGCAGTGGTGAGGATGGGAAGAAGTCACTGGGAATGGCTTTGATTCCCCCTATCCCCAAGTCAGCGACACCATCTGATGGGGATCCTGGCAGTGCTGCAGTGCCTATCCCAAGCTCTCAGCACCTGGGCCAAGAGGCCCTGGAGATGAGGTAAGCTAAGGTGTCTGCTTCTCCAATATGCGGTTCACCTCGCACTTCTCGTCTCATGAGGTTACTTTCCACAGTCAGCTCTCCAATATATTTGTGCAAACTTCTGTACATTCACCATTTTGCATATCTATGATGTTCCAGCACAATGTCAAAACTAGCATCATAACACTCTAAGGGCAGGGAGGGCGGGGGGAGGAGGAGGAGGAGGCAGGACTTAAGAGGACCTTAAAAGCAGGTCCTCTGCTGGACTCTGGTACTGATTCATTCTGTAATCTTTGTGATGCCATTTGAGAACTGTGTTGCATGGATCTGAATACAACATCTGGTTTTGTGTGTGATCTTTGACTGCCAATTTCTGTACCTGCAAGAATATGTTAGGGCAAATATTGGCTATTGTAGAGCTGTCTGCAAATTCAGATGCTGCTTCTGTAAATGTCAGTTGTAACTTCTTTGTGTCTGGGCCTTCACTGTGAAATGAGAGTCCAGATAAATCTCGGTTTATAGATGTATAATCCTATAGATGTTTAGTATTTACATATGGTTTTAAGATCAAAGGGGGCAAGGTGCTAGAGAACAGTTATAGGGCTGTAACTGATGAAAAGATATTTGCATGGATATGTGTGGGGAACTCTAGCTGTCAACCTTACTATAGTTATAACAATAAATAAGGAGTCATAGAAATATAGTTCCAATTTAAAAGCTTCAGCATGGCTTTTAAAGTGCAATCTGAATATATTTACCTACCAGTTGAGTTGGAAAAACCCTTTTTCTTCTTGAAAAAGCAGGGAGGTGTAATGTTATTCTCAGGAGACAGCAGTGGTATTGCCATGTGTAACAAGACACTGTCATCAGTTGAAGTCATGACCACGCAAAGTTAGGCTTCTGTAGCAGTATAAAGGTAGCTGCCCTCAATACAGACTTATGACTGGCTTAACATCTCTTGCTGATTCAGAAAGGATGTATGTGAGAGCCACTTAGCTCCAAAATGAGAGACAGCAGAATTGGATAATTAAGGCCCAAACTGAAGAATGACTCCTGTGTTTCAGCTGGAGCTTGATGAGCTCTGTGTGACTCCAGCAACTGAAAGTTTAATGGCAATTAATCAGTTTTGCATATTGTTGGTTTTATGGGTTGCGTTTCCTCCTTCATCAGAACAACCATGCTAAGAAAGTTTGCCTCCTTTAATGCTACCGCCCCTTCTCTTTCTAACTCCTCATATATTTTATCCTCAATTTTCTTAAGGCCAAGATCAGGCAGAAGAAGTGAAGAGAAGACCCTTAAATATCTAGGTAGGTACAGGGCATGGCTGTCTTAAAATGACCATAGGAATCCTGACCCATGGGTGGCACTGTGAAAGTTCGGTTGAAAACCATCCTGTAACGTTTTTCAATTCCTTGATGTGCTTAGACGGCACCCCCAGAGCTCAGTCACTGGGAAATGTGCTCTGGTGATCCAGTGAAAATGACTCCAGCATGGGGTTATGAATGGCAGGAGCTGGAAGGGTACCTTGGGGCCCGGGAAATGCACAGCAGGAAAAGAAAAAGTTCCTCTACCTCATGCTCATACCTTTTATGTCCCTGCATGCTCTGTAAGGTCACAAACATTAGAGAAAAACGGGGCATTTCTCATGAAATGAGAAATGTTCCCACTCCTTTCTCCTACACTTGAAGGAGAAAACCTTCCCTGTACCTCATGCTCATACCTTTTATCTCCCTGCATGCTCTGTAATGTCACAAAGATTAGAGAAAAATGGGGCATTTCGCGTGAAATGAGAAGTGTTCCCACTCCTTCCTCCTACACTTGAAGGAGAAAACCTTCCCTTGGAGCGGTTTCTGAACTGAACCCTTTGAGATCTGAAGTAGATTCAACATTGCCTATTTTTGCACTGGGAGAAATAGTGAAACTTTGTGTCATAGGAAGTCCTTGTGAATTTTCTATTTACAGAGAAAGAGACTTAAAAAAGGATCCAGCTTATGCAGGATCTGAGCTTTCCATTCTCTTAAAGCACAAGCCTAAATTAAATGCTGAGTAATGAACTGAGGTTCCCTTTTTGCAACTCATTTACCTCAAACCACATATGCTACATTTATGATTACAAATCTCTTCCCCTACTCTATCTGCATATGTCAGTATTGCAAACTGAGGCTGGGGTAAGAGATGCCTACTGGCTTCTCCCCCTTCCCTGCCTTGCATTATCACTAGCAATAAGAGTTCTGCATGACAAAATGCAGTGTCTGGTGCATTTGTGTCAGCCGATACTTTTAAGTTGAAAACCTCAATGACACTGTTGCTGTCCCTTTGCCATCTGTGGGTTTGTAGTGATAGGAGAGATGAGAATTTAACAAATAATTTTGCTGATGCAGAAAAAGGGATAAGATCCACTGATCCCTCAGCTCAGTGTTAGTTCTGCCAAATCATGGGCATGCCCCATAGGAATGATTGCTTTACTGCTGATATGCAGCTAGGATGCTGAATGCAACTGGGGAGAAGTATTGCTAAGTAAGGTGACATTTTTGCAGGACACATTCTGGGCTAGAAATGAGCTATATTGTTAAACCATCTCTCTCTCTCTTTTATTATTGACCTGACCATTCCGCAGGGAAAAAAAATCCAGGTTTAAGAAAGTTATTCCTTTTTTACTGCTTGGCTATCACATGATTTTATAATCTGTGAAGCCATGTAAGGAATGATTAGTTCTCCGAGTTTTAACAGCTCTGTTGGAGAGTATTTCAGAATGAGCTGCACCGTGCTATTCCCATCAAGAAAATCAGCCTTCAGTCAGGCTGCCCAGAAAGTGGGCTGATCTGCTACAATTTAGAATGAAACTCCTTGGGGAAAATGAATTCTCTAACTTCAAGAACACAATTCTGGTTTTGGTATCACTCTAGCAATCCTAAGCTTTTCTTTAAATGCCCTCTAAAATATTTCAGCAAAGAGGAGGAAATGTTGATGCTTACCTCTACAAAGGCATATAGCTATTAAAAACCAGGTGTTCTTCTAGTTACTGGGAAAAAGAGGATGTTTACTAAAATCAAAATGGATAGGAACACATAAGAATCTTTTTGGCAAGGGCAATCTCCATCTCTCTGCTCTTCTCTATCAAACACAGCTGCTCACTAGAAGCCAAGGGCTAAGGCCTTTATCATGCAGTACGTTTGAGTCTGATGGTCAACAGACTAATGTAATTTCTGCTGCCAGTGTAATATGGTAGCACCCCATCTGTTTGGAGAGGTGATATGTTCCTTGCTGTTCTCATACACAATCTATATCCATGTCTTATCAGAGCACCAGACTCTGGAACCCATCTTGCCTGTTCTCCAGCATCACGTTGGTGGTGGCGGCATGAAGTCTGCCAGACATCTACGTGAACCTGTGCCACCGTTAACAAGCCTCCCACTCAGCCAGGCCGAGGAGATAGATCATATCGTGAGCCCTTGCCTTCTGAGTGACGACGACTTGAAGGACAGCAATGGAAGGGTAAGGGCTAAGGAAAGGGGTGAGCAGGCTTCCTTTTCAGTGACTGTTCAGTGCTTAGCACAAAATGTCACTGAAAATCATCATCTTCCTCTCTTAGGGAGTAGATTCTCTTGGGAATACATTTGACAGCTACAGAGCAATTGCTTGAGTATTTTCATTGGTGCAGAAGTCACTGGTTGGGAGATAGTGCTAAGGTTACGCAAGAAGCATTCTTTGTGTATGAAGGCCAATTTAGAGCAGATCTGAATGGCAGAGCAAGTTACCACCTCAGTGAACATGTGCAAAATGCACGTTTGGAAGTACAGAAGCAAAGATTATAATGTTGAGTGTAAGCAAGACTGCAAAATAAAATGGGAGAGCTTGCTTTTCCTTGGTTACCTTTCTTGCTGTATCTCACAGCCCTCTCATTCTCAATTTTTCTATTCATTAAGACCAATGTTTCTCAAACTTGTTTTCACATGACTCCGTTTTTGGACTCGTGTTCTCAGAGAGCAGCTGAGTCCTTCAGAAGCAAGGAAGTGAGAAGCAGCTGCAATTACTGGCCATGAGTGTTAAGAAACAGCAAATTACCTCTCATTGCTGGTTATTGCAGATGGTTTTTATTCTGCCGCCCTGGCCTGTAGGAATTGAACTGCCTGTTCACTGGTAATGTGAGCTCTTCATACATCTTGGAGCACTCCTATGACTTTCTTGGTTCAAGCAGGGCTTCCTGACATAGACTGAGAAACAGTACCTTGGACCAGTGGAAGGTTATAGCAATGAAGTGTTATACATCACTGGGTGTAATTGTATGCCAAGGTGAGGAAAGGAGGAATTCTTCTGAAACTACTGGGATGTATATGGAGCTGGATTAAAGACGATGACACTCTACCACTGTGTTCCTGATGAGGTGTTGTGTATGGTTTGTGTATCTCTCTTTATGCTCCATGACGTATTTCCATTGCATCTAGATCCATGTTGTCTTGTCCAAGTCAACTCAGAAGAAAATACAAAAGCGAATGAAAGAGATGGAGCTTTTGCGTAGAGAGAGGGAGAAAGAGAGAGAAAAGGAAAAGTCCTTGCAGCTCCCTACACAGAGTGTTGACCCTAGGGATGCAGCTGAAGAAAGTAAGTGGGTGCTGTAATTGTGGGCCTTTTTGTTCACTTGCTTGCTATTTGCATAGTGTTCCAAATATCTGTGAAATCAGACTGGGAGGCTGTTACACTTGCATCTGCATGGAAGTTTGAATAGAATTTATTTCCGTTTTCCAAAGACAAATACAAAGGCATGATGTGTCTTGCCCATGGCCCACACTGAGTCAGTCACAGAATATCACCTTCCCCCCTTCTCCTATAAAGTCTTTCAGACTAGATAATTCTGTTTTGCAAACTACAGTGGGGCTTCAGACTCTCTAGTAGCCTCCAGGAAAGGTAAATGGGTGAGTCCACAAGAATGCTTTTCAACCAAGGTGCAACCTGGAAGAAACAAAATTAAACTATTTCTAATTAAAACACAAAAGATATTGCTCACGTGATAGGACAGATTATCCTGCTCACACCACTCCCTGCTGAGTAGCTCGCATTGCAGAGCCATGCTGGAGCCCTTCGCCAGTGCTTATGTTTTACCCACATGAGCAAGCAGTGTTACTGACTTAATTGCAGCTGACGGGCTCTGATTGTACTGCTGCACGTGCTACCGTGAGTGCAGCAGCAGGGAACTCAGCCCAAGGGCATCGGACAAGGTTATCTGCTCTTTTTCTTGCTATTATTTCGTGAAATGCTGGTGAGGAGTGCTGAGGTGGGATCCCCAGAAATGTAACTTCCCTATCCAGCCTCTGAAACAGGAAAGCAAAAGAAAAGCAGTACTGAGTTTTCCTCATTTCTTAGGGAAAGCATCAACTGCATTCAGTTTTAAACTAAAGGGGGGCAGATTTAGACTAGATACAAGGAAGAAATTTTTGACGCTGAGGGTGGTGAAACACTGGAACAGGTTGCCCAGAGAGGTGGTGGATGCCCCATCCCTGGAAACATTCAAGGTCAGGTTGGACGGGGCTCTGAGCAACCTGGTCTAGTTGAAGATGTCCCTGCTCATTGCAGGGGGGTTGGACTAGATGACCTTTAGAGGTCCTTTCCAACCCAAACTATTCTATGATTCTGTGATCACTGTCCCATGTTAGTGTGCAACTGTTATGCTTGGAGTTGCCTGGGACAACAAAGGGATGTTACCCAGCTCCAGCAAGATTTCTAGCCCTTTCCAAGCCCATAGCCACCCTGTCCAGCACTCTCCACTTACAAAGTCCTTTTTGGTCTCTGCAGGCTTTGGCCCACTGCCTGTCAATGGCACAGTTCCCATTCCCCCCAGCACGAGCAATGCACGCAGAGCAAGAGCTGGTACTGCCTTGAGGAAGCAGGTCAACAGGCCCTCACTGCCCAGCATCCCCGTTGTCAGCCAGGGTGGCAGCTTCCCGCGCAACTCCTCAGGTGAGCCCACTCACAAAGTGCCTCATTCCCCAACCACAGGTAGGATCTCGGGTCCAAAGCCTGTCCTGAGGATTGAGAGCAAATCTGCTTTGGATCCACTCCAGCCTGGTGATACTGGAGCAGTTGGTGCTTACAGATCTGTTGGAAAGTTGAGCTGAATAAAGTAGTGGTAAAGCCTTAAGCTCTAGCTTTTGTACATACTGATAGGCCAAGATATAACACTGGTGCCAGGAGGCAGCTGTAACTGCAGGGCTGAGCCCCGGTGCAGTCTGGCAGGGTGTGTTCACTGTGCACATATGTGTACCACCATGATCAGTTAGCTACTCACCGTCTTGGCCCTCTGTCTGTGCTGCTGTCTGGCTCTCCAGCCAGCTTTTCTACCATCGCAGCGAGGGTTGTCTCTGCATGGAAATTAGTGACTTGGTACCATCATGCTATTGCACCTACAAGTGCTTAACAGCTTCTAGCCTCTCTCATCCCACCGCCTGCAATGCAAACTGGGAACAAGCAGTGCCCCTTCTGTCACCCCACCCAAATATGGTGGCTGTGTGTAGCAGATGACATGCAGGAGAGGCTGCCTCGTGCTCCCAGGCTGTTTGCTACCTGCAATAAATATACAGCAGAGAGTGAGTCCATAGTGATTCTCGTCTCTCCTTTGTGGGTAGCCTACCTTGTGCTATGATCCTGAACAGCATGAGTTAAGAAAAAGGGAGCTAAGAATGATACTTTGAATGCTCTTTTCTAGTGATGCTACTCCAGTTTTCAAAATTGACCAGAACTAGCCTGACGTGACTCTCCGTTCATATTGAATATAGAGGTGTATATGTACATACTCGTGCAGTGACATCGCTAATGCCAGTGACAGTGATATCGGTGACATCCAAATTAGTCCCCACCTGCATATTTTTGATTTTATAGTTCTTCCATCCTCCATACTTTGTAGAACACGCAAGGTAGTATAAAAACCCTACAGAGTCCATAACAGTTCATCTAGATTCTGTGCAATATTTATACTCAATACTTTTAGACAGCTCAGATGTTTTCATCTATACTTTAGAAAATGAGCTTTTGAGTGCAAGACATGAAATTTTTGACCTATGGTTCTTTTGATGACAAATAGGTTTCACAACAAATGCATTTATCATCTGAATTTTCTTATACCTTGTATATTTATCATCAAGAGAGTGTGTTTTCCAACAATTTGTATCTATATTTACATATTTTTATTCTCAGTTCACATTTGGAAGGCTTTTTTGTTACAACTATCTAGACTAGAAATTGCATTTTTCCACAAGAGAAAGCTTAGGCATTGCACAGTTTGCAAACAAGTACATTTGATGACAAATAAATCTCACTTCACCGTCTTCGAAATACAGCCAGTGGGTACCTCTGAAATAGTAAATATTCATAATGCTTGGAAAATAGCAAAATCCATAAACTACTACTTTCCCAATAGTATGCTAAAATGTATGTGCACTCAGCTGCCTGCTGTCTAGAATATTTGAAGTAAATGGAAACAGAGGCACTGTCAGATTTAGAGAGTCAGGTATCACTGTTCCCAGGTGGTTGCTCCTTGGGGATTTGCCTGAGCCCAGCAGGACTCAGTTGTTCAGGCTTGGTGCTCACTGCGGGCAGCTGGAAGTGTTTCCTCGGAAAGTTACAGGGTGCCTCTGTCCCCAGTGCTCCAGGTAACAGGGAAGGGATACAGGGAGGTATGTGCACATCTCAGGAGCTTAGTCCTGGAGTAACAAGTCCTGCTGGGCGGCACTGGCTCCCAGTGAGTGTGAGCTCTGTGGCACTATGAATCTGCAAGCTGGCTGTGGTATCTATATGGTCTTGGGAGCTGGCTCTATGTGTGCAATTTTCAGGTTTACACAAGGAGCTGGTGCCCAGCTGGGGGTGACTGGGAGATGGTTGGGTGCTGGGGAAAGCAATGAGCCAGACAGCAGGGAAGTCTCTGAACCAATGCCAGTTTGCACCCATATGTAATCTTGGCTGGGAGACTGGATTGCAGTCTTCTCGGTGGCGGGGTGCCTTGCCCCGAGGCATCCGATGCTAGTGTCTGACCCTCTCCTTACAGCGAACTCACTGCCAGCCATTGTTACGGACTTAGAGAGTGGGAACACCCGGGAAGTCAGACCCTTCCCTCAGCCACAGCAGGCGCTGCTCAACGCACTCACATGGCTCAGCAGTGACGACTGGTAAGAAAGCCCCCTGTTCACTCTTTTTCCCTCTCAGTGTAAAGGTAAGTTAGAAACATTTTTTTCCTAGTGCCTCTGAGCCCAGACAGCCCAGATGTCCAAGGGAACTACTGAAACCACTCCAAAGCAGTCACAGTATAAAGATGTGAGAGCAGGCTTTCATTTGCCTTGGTCCATAGCAGTGCTACAGCCACAGCAGGTCGATGCTGTTTCCTAGCTTTGCCTTCTGCTCCATGTAGCTGCAAATGAAATTTCCATGGAAGAGAGAAAGTTGTGGAACAAGGTGATTTGCTGGCTGAAGCCAGAAGCAGGATGGAAGTGATCTTGAGTTTATAGTTTTGGGGCCTCAGGTCACTGGCCCAGGTGGGACTGAGTAAGGATTTATCTCTGGTCCTGCTGCTGGCAGCAGCAGCAGCAGGAGACAGGGCCTCCCTGTGACCTCCTGCATGTGAGTCCCAGGAGTGCCTACGGGGAGTTCCTATTTCTGAGAAATGGACTGAGACATGGCGCAGAGTTGCTCAGCCTGTCATTTCTCCTGAAGGGCTCATGGCAGAAGACAAGGAAAAAGAAAAAAAAATCCTTTAAGAATCTTGCACTTTTAGAATGAAATTTTTTCCTCCTCACTGCTTAATATGGGCCAAAGATGTTTTGTTGATAATCACAGTGTGTCCTGAAATTAGACACAGACAGGAGGAGACTCCACAAATTTCAGGTAATATTGGTTGTCTTTTTGATTTCTGGGTCAGCATGCACTCACTAGGGCTCCATTCACACTGGGATAACCATGAAAAATCTTCCATGATGCATTTCCTTGTGTGATTGCTTTGTTTTGCCCCTCTCCCCTTTCTCTTCCCTGTTCCTGTTTGGTGCCCTGTGAGGTGCAGAGAGCTGCTGCAGGTGTGGGAGGGCCAGGTTACACTCTGAGACCCCAGTGGGGATGGGTCCCCAGTCCTGCCCTGCAGCCCTGGTGAACCAGTGACTGCATCAAGTGCCTTCATGTAGCCCAGGTCCTTCACAAAGAAAGTGCTGAAAGAAGCGGGGCTTTGCTACTTTTAAATAACATGTTGCTGTTGTGGGTGTTATTTTAAGTAGGGGTTTTCTGGAAGATCCAGCATTTTGGCTGTTCTTGCCCAGGTGTGGAATCTTTTACGACATCCTGCTGTTTGTTTTTTTTTTTTTGGG